AAAGAGTAACATAACAACTGGAGTTAATTTACTTGCTGCTGTAATTTATCAAGGCCCCGTAAGCAATGCTGGCTATTGACTCTTTTGGATTTCTAGGGAATCTGAAGGGCTTTTATTTTCAGTTGTTTCAGTGAACAGCCCTTCTCCTGAGGGTTACGAGTGGCTTCTCGTGAAGCTCATTTCATGCCCAGCTGACGAGGGCAGGAGCTCAATGAGCCCCAGGAGACATTGACACTGGGTTTACAGGAGGGTTTTCCAGCTGCTGATGGAGATGCAGAGCAGGCTGGGGGGCTGTGATCCCAGCTGCATAAGCTGCCCTGAATAGGATTTCAAATTGCAGCCTGCTGAATTTCACCCGCTTCTTTCTGCTTGACAAGCTCTGGTGAACCCGGGAGGTGGGTGATAAGGGAGAGGTTTGATGGGTTGGAGTCAGCCAGTTCAGCTTTTAGGTTGATCCTTTGAACTTGAGCTTGTTTGGTATTTGCAGTTGGGGGCTGCTGTGTTGGTGTGGAAGCAGCCACTGGGCATGGCTGGGCACTCCAGGCGGGGCTGGAGCTTCTTGGAAAACAGGTTTTGGAGGGATGAGACCAAAGGATCAGCATCCAGTGCTGTGGGCAGGGGTAGAAGGTGATTTCAGATCTGGCAAAGTGGGCAAAAGCAGATTTCAGACTGGGGAGGGAGAAGTAGCTTCCCATGGGAGTTCAATCCCTCCCAGTTTCCCAACCTCTGTGTATTTGGGGGATTTTATCCCCTTTGATCAAACACCTGCAGCACCAACCATGTGTACCTGAGCAGCGAGTCTGGGCTGGCCAGGGCAGCCCTTGTGAGCAGCTGAGCCTTCTGCTTTCAAAGTAGAAGCATCTCTTCAGTAAACATCTCCTTTTTCATTTCTTCGTGTATTTTGTCCATTATCCTCATCCAGGTCTTTGGTAGCAGGGCTGGGCAGAAACTGGCAGAGCTGCATTTGGGTGTCCCAAGACTGTCCCATGTCTACTGTGGGCTGCCTCAAAGCCAGCACCCTGCTCCAAGGAGAAGAGTTCCCTGAAAAGTGCAGTGCTAGACACAGTTTTTTGGGCTAGTCCAAAGGCAAGACACCCTCTTAGCACCACAGTGATGCATCATCTCAGGAGCCAACGCAGTTCCCTTGTTGTTGAAGAGCTTTGGCCTCCCCAGGAACATCCTGGCATGGAGTGGGAGCCTGCAGAGCTTTCCACACTGAGGGGAAGGAGATCAATGCTGGGCCTCATCTCAAAGCCCATCCCAGCCAATTCCTGTGCTCCTGTGGATTAGAGCAGACAGGAACATTGTCACTGTCCTGCTGGCTCACTGAGATGGAACATCTTGTGCTGTTCTGCAGCTCTGCTGATGGGGCACTGAAGTGAAATTAAAGTTAAAATAAGCCCAGAGCTGCAGGAACATGCCACACACATCTGAGCTCCCTCTGCTCACCCGTGCTTGAACGCTGAGGGGCAGGCTTGGTGGAGCTGGGAACCTCAGGCCAAGCGTGAAGGTGTTGAAGGAGCTCTGGGAGCACCATGGTCTTCACTTTGCTCCTTGACAGCTTTTCATGTGCTGGGTACGTTTCTCCTTGGCTGCTCTGTCCTGTGGTCATTGTGTCCTCCCATGCTGTCACCTTCTGCCTGCCCATGGTGCCTGGATGTGGCTCTGAGCTCCTCTTGCTCCTTTGGCCGCCGGGCGTTACCAGGAGTCTCTGCAGTGTCCCCCCCCAGCACAGCTACTGCCTTCCAGTTAGAGGTTTTGAAGCTTTTTTTTTCCCCTTTTCTTTTCTTGGAAAATAAGCTGAGAGGAAAACGTGCCTTTTCCAGGGGCTCTGCTGGCTGAGGTTTGTGGCTGATCCCTCAGTTAGGGCAGGATTAGGCTGATCCCTGGATAATGCCTTATCAGGGTAAAGTGTCTTGAGTTGTAAAGCCCAGGAAGCCCAAGAGAAGCAAAATCCCTTTGTTTAGGTTAAATATAAGCATTTTCTGGCTGAGCTTGGTCATGTTTTTCTTTCTTTGTTCTGCAACTCTGCAAAGAGGTGCCCGTGAGCAGCCCTGCCTGGTGCCTTCGCCACGTGAGCCTGGCAGGGTTGTGTGGACCCTCCTGCTCTTCCAGCTCCATCCCTGCTTGCAAGAGGGGCTGGCAACTGCTTCAGCCATGGGAATCCTTGGGAAAACCCCTCTGTCATGGAGAGGCTTTCTGTGGGACATGTATGCCTGCCTTCCACCCTCTTTCATGTCCCAAGCTGTGGGGTTTTTGCCTTCCCCTCTGCAGAGTGGTGCCCACCACAGATCCTTCAGGGTGCCCAGGACTGTGCTTCTCTTTGCTCACGATGGTGCCAAGAACCAGGAATCACACAGGATTGTTATTTTCCAAGCTGCTGCCTGAGGCTGCAGTGGGTAAGGGGACCTGCTCTCCCATACCCATCTGCAGTGACCTGATGTCCTGGTCTTCCATTTGTGGAGCCTTCAGTGCCGTGTTTCTGTAAGTGGTTGACATAGAAACATGGACCTTTCCCTTCTTGTGTCTTTTCCCACCTGAAGAAGCCACTTGGTCTGTTTATAATTTGAGTATGTTTGGAATACCTGAGAGAGGGGCTGCTGGAGGGCTGAGCTGGCTGGGAGCCTGGACTGTGGGCAAACTGGCAGCAAGGGCTTTGTTTTCCATTTCACTCTCCGTGTGTCTGCTTCCTTACCTGCAAGACCCGGGTGTTTTGAGGTCTGACCTCTTCTCTGAAGATGGGATTGAAGTGGTGAAGTTATTGTGCCATCTTGGCAGGCTTTTCAAAATGAAATGGTTGAAACAAACCTCAGCAAAGGGCTGAGTGCATCACACAATATCTGCTAGATGTAATTTAAGGCTTCCTGAGCCCCAGCAGTGACCGTGGGATGTGCTGGGGTCCCTGCTACTTCTGGATCTTGTGTGACACCAAACTTGCTTGGGTGTGAGCTCCTGTTGGATGCTCTGGGGTCACCAGGCCCTTGGCTGATTGGTGGCCATACTTGTCCTGCCCCATCTCTTGTGTCCTCTCCTGGGCAGTGGGGACCTGGCCAAGCCCATGGCTGAAGGCTGCTGTGTCCCCTCCTCCTCTCCATGCTGGGGAGGTCTCCACTGTGCTGCAGCTTCCACCATCAGCTGCTTCTCCCTCCCAAAAAGCAGTTCACTACGCACCATCTGTTGATTGTTGGTTTCCCATGATTTCTTGCCATGTATCTGTAATTTGTAGTTCCATTAATTGTGCTGCTGAGGTTCTGGCTCCGTGGGACTTGCTTTGCAGCAGGAAGTTGCTGTGGTTTCCCCTGTCAAAGCTGTTCTCGTGATTCGCACCAAGGAGCCTTTCTCTCCTTTGCATTTTGCTCTCTGGACAAGCCTCACTGAAAAATAAGTATTTTGGAAGAGCAGTGCCAGACCCATTTCATGGAATCATGGAATGGTTTGGGTGGGAAGGGACCTTAAAGCCCATCCAGTCCCAAGCCCCTGCGTGGGCAGGGACACCTCCCACCAGACCAGGCTGCTCGGGGCCACATGGGTTCCTCTGGCTGGTTCAGTAGCTGGAGTTATCACCCAGTCATTACATTTTAGGGACAATTTGGAGCCTTGTTGCCCCATGACCCCATACGTAGGGCTGATGGCTGCTGTTTCTTTCCCTTTCCCCTCCTGAGCCTTGGATCAAGGCTCAGAGTTGTCCAGTGTTTCTGTTCCCCATACTCAGCCTGGACTGGAGGATGCAAATCCTGTGATTATCCCAGTTAGTGCTGCTTTCTATGGTCTGTTTCCAAGGCAACTGGAAATTCAGAAGACCACAAACACATGCACAGTCCTCTTCTTTGGAGCCCTTATCCTCCAGTAGACAGGTAAACACTCTCAGTGACATTTCCAACCTGTTGGAATGCTCATCTGAAGAGTCCTCAATGGCTCGAGAGGGGAATTGCCTCCTTTGAAGGCTGGGAAGCCCAGGCAGCCACACAAACGGGTTGGCTTTTGTTCTTTGAATGGTTTTCCCCACCTTGCCTTGCTGGGAGGAGAGTGACAGCAGAGAGGCTGCAAAAACAAAAACAGGCATTTGGGAAAAAAAACCAAGCCCAAGAAACCAGTGGCAGTGGTTTGATGCTTTCTGAAAATAAGATTTTTTGATTATTTTTTTCTGAGAGGAAAGAAGAAGAGGTGCCAGGGGTGGGAGGACAAGAAAAGTCTGAGAAAGGGAAGGAGGGAAGAGGGAAGGATGGAGCAGTTATCCCTGAGGAGCTCCACAGAGGAGGCTGTGGTGGATTGCAGGTCTCCTGTACCCACTGCTCTCCTGGCTGTTTTTCCTTGGGGTTTATGGGATTAAATGTAATCTGAAAATATGGGGTTAACTGTAATATAAAATAATCTGCAAAGTGGGAAATGTCCTCGTGGAGTTTGGGTTTCCCTCTGCTTTGGAGACTGTAAGGGTGTTGTGCTGGTATTTGCTAATGGGGAGACTGGAAAGTGGGAAGGTGGCATTTCTGGGACCCTGGGTTCCCAGCTCCCAGGGAATTAATGGGAGAAATTAGTGTTTGGTTCTTTTGCAACCCCCTGTGGCACCAGTTCAGCTGCCCCTCGTGGAGGCAGCTCCCTGCAGAGGGGTTTGCCAGGCTGGAATCCTTTTGAACAGAGGTTGGTGTTTTGCACTGCTCTGTTCCTTATGGAAACAGCATTTCAGCCAGGGGGGGTTGGCATCTTTTCCTCATAAATACAGAGACCACGTTGGTTTCCTGAGGAACTGCTGGTTTGGGTTCCTAGTGTGGAAGTACCCCACTTTGAGCTAAGATTAAATGCATTTAGATTAAAATAAGCAGAGTGACAATCTGGACTCAGGGCTCTTAAATGTCTTTTGCTACTAGAGTGATTCTGTGACCTGGCCTGGAGTCCTCCTGTCCTGCTCAGGCCAGTCTTTGCTCCCTTGAAGCACAGGAGGAGAGACAGGCTCAGGGCTGGTTTAGGGTTTGTCCTTACTGTTCTTTTCCTTTCTGTTTCAGAGGGTCTGGCAGTGGGAGTTGGATTTGGAGCTATTGGGAAATCAGCCTCTGCGACCTTCCAAAGCGCCAGGTAAGGCAGGACCCACCTTCTGCTCTGCACGTGTCAGGTTTGCTGTGCCTTTGCCTCCTGGAGGTTGTCTGTCTGTCTGTCTGTCTGCCTGTCCCACATCGCTACCGAGATGCATTGGCTGAAACTCACCTGGAAGCACAGGTGTGGGTGGCAGGAGCAGAAGCAATTCCTGGTGCTGTTGCCTGTTCCTAGTGCTTGTGCTTGTCAGACGTGACAGAAAAATGCTGAGGTTTTCCACAAAAGCAGCATCCTAAATGGGCAGGAGCAGCTGCTGGAGCTGTTGGAAAGTGTGTGCTGGCTTTGTTTTCCATTCCTGCCAAGCAGGGCCACTAGATTTGTAACTGGTGGCAGTAAAGCCCCTCAGTTCCCCCAGCATCCCTGCCCCAGCCTCACCAGCCGCCGCGCTTACCCGGCTGCTTTTGGCAGCACCAGTGTTACCCCATGCAGAGCATTCTGTGCTTCTCTCCAGCACTGGTGTGAACATGGGGGGAGGTTAATTCAGCTCCTCCAAACCCCACAGGGGCAATTTTAGGCTTTGAGTGCATTTTCAGACCAAGATTTTGGCATGCAGGGTGAGTCCTGCTGCTTCCCCACACCCAGCTGCCCCTGGCAGAGTTGAAACTGGGTAGACTGGGAATGTTGCTAAAGAAATGAGAGAAAGGCAGAAGTCTAGTGGGAAGGAGATCCAGAGGAGCTGCTGAGGCTCTGCATGAGCTGCTGGCACCTCTCAGCACCTGGCTTGCAAAAACCACCCTCCTGCCCAGGCTCCTCTGTGTGCCTTTACCAAATGGTTTTCTTCTTCTGTTTTAATTTTACACCCAAGCCTGGTGGGACAGCCTGGCCCCTTGGCCCTTTGTTTGCCAGACCCCTGCTGTAATTGCAGTGGACTGGGGACACTCAGGGTGTTCAGTCTGTGAATAACCTGCCCAGCCCTTAAGGCTCGTGGGGGCAAGTGCCATGATGTCTCAGCCTCCTTGTTCCTGCCAGATGATTCTTGTGGGGCCCTGGGGCTGGGTTTGGAGCCCTTCAGGTTGTCCAGCCCCTTCTCTGCCCAGGCACAAGCTCTGCTCATGAGGACCCTGCAAAGACACAAGCAAAACGTGTTGTACCTAATACCCTGTTGCTGCTGCTGGGGACCCATCCTGATGTCACAGGCTGGCACTGCTGCCCCTGGTGCTTCCATCACAGCAGATATCATCCAGATCTGTAGCAAGAAAAGCTCTTGACAAGGATTTTCTCTAACCTTTTGAAATAAAAGGGTCTTCTGTAGAGGCTCTAGGGATGCTTGAACAAAAGGACATTTTTTTTCATCAGCTGCTCAGTAAAAGCTAAGAAGCCAGAAGCAGCTGGTTCTTTCTCTGTATTTACAACAGCATTAATCATGTTAGATGAAAGGTGGAGTCAGTACCATGAAAATACCAATGCAAATGTAGTCAGCTTCAAAAGGAGACAAAATAACTTCATTGCCATCAATCTGTCTGTCACTGTCATCTGCGGGCAGCCCAGGAAGCACTTGGAGTAGCTGCTCCTCTGTGAAGCCATTTGGAAATATCCAAGAGTAAGATAGTAGGTGGCTCATTTGTGTTATGTAGGCTTAAAAAATAGCAGTGGAATTACACTTGATGTGAGCTAATGTGAGAAATAGAGGTAAATATTTTGACACATCCAAAGGGGAAATTGCTCAGCTCTTTGGGGACACGAGAGTCGTGATCCCCCTCGTGTCCATTAGTTTGAAAGAGATTTTTAATGAAATGGCTGCATGACTCGGTTTACCTCCTCCCTTCTGCTCCCCCCTGGGTGTGACTAACCACATTAGCACCAAGCTGGGCTGAGCTGCCTCTCCAGAAGGCTTGTTCCTTCGAACCTGGGGTCGTGCAAAAGTGTTTATGGACACTCTGAGGTGCTCGGTGGAGATGCAGGTGCCTGAGGATGCTTGTGGTGGCTGGGAGATGTTCCCAGGATTGGCTGTGACTTGCCCTGACCTGGCACTGACCTTGAGGACCTGCCTGGTTGCATTGCTCCCAGAGGGGTGAAGGCTTGGCAGAAGGCTGAGTTCATTCCAGCTCCTTGCAGGGCCCTGGTGAGCCATGGCTGGGCTGTGTCCTGCAGGGCTGCTTTTGGAGCCAGGGGCTTTGCAAATAAGCAGCATGTTTGCTTATTTGCAAGAAGGGGAGATCACCAGCTCTTCTGCAAACCACTGCAAGCAGCCAGGGGCTGCTTTAGCCTGGTTTGCTTTGATCAAGCTCAAGGGTGAGCCCCTGTGCACCAGAGCAGCTCAGGGGGGTGCTGGTCCCTGCCCCTGCCCTCTGTCACAGCCCCAAGTGCTTTTCCCTTTTCACATGGCACTGTGATGCTCTCCAGCTTAGTTTGGATGAGGGTTAGTGCCCCGTTCCCAACTTTACAGGCATCCCAGGGGGCTTTTCCTAGGCTGAGCACTTCCTGCCAGCAGTTGGAAGGTTCCTGGGTGCTGCCCGTGGCAGGAGGGGATGTGGAGGGGCCCTGGCCGTGCCCCTGGGGCTGTGCTGGTGCAGAGCTCAGCCCTGGCAAGGGCTGTCTGGGGGCTCTGAGGCACAGCAGGGCTGGTTGTGCTGCAGGGGGGGCTGG